AAAAGACTTTAGTCAGGCTTGGTGGTGCACACCTTTAATCCCAGTACTCAGGAGGCAGAGGCAGGTGGATCTTGGCTACATAATAAGACCCTGTTTCAAAAAATAAAACAAAACAAAATAGTAAAAAGTTAAAAGAATACACTGCTACTAGACCTAAGAAATAATTGGTTTTTTTTTTTTTTTAAGTTCAGGAAGAAGGAAATATGCACCAAAATTTGGATTTACATAGCAAAATGAAGAGCACCAGAAATGGGAGAGATGACCACAAACACTATATGTGGAAGTAGGAAACAGAAACTAGGGACTTAATATTGGAGAAGGGGCTTCACTTTGGTTTCTGAGACAGAGTCTCTTGGTACAACATGTAGCCCAGGCTAGCCTCTAACTCTTGGTACTCTGCCTCCACCTCCCCAGTACTGAGGTCACAGCATGTGCCGACACCTGGCTTAGGCATCACGTTTTCTTATTCCAATCTGCATGCCTTTGGGTGAAGTCTAATTCTAATTTTTATTTTCAGTCCTGGAGACCGAACACAGGACATCATACATGCTAGGCAAGAACACCAGTGCTGAGCTACAGTTCCAGAACTCAGTGGGATTTAAAGGCAAAGGCGAAAGGCCAGTGAGTCACCTCAGAACTCAAAGAGATATACCAAAGCAGCAGAAACATGTTATTTCTTACCACCTGCTCCTTCCAAAATGCCCCGGACTACTGCCTGAACACCACTGGGTCTCATTAACCTTTCAGAGAGCAGCTGCCCACATAGACGCCGGAGCCACCCTGGGGCCCGACACCTACGCTGTGTCGTTACATCTGTGCAGGACTGACAAAAAAGGAGAAGGCATGGGTTATTAATGTCAATGAAACAGACAAAGTACAAACACATTGTCTTTGATTTTGGTACTAGGGGGTAGCTCAGTGGTAGATCATGTGTTTAGTATATGCAAAGCCCTAAGTTTGATCCCTAATATATGCATGTACACATGATGTTCGCATGTACACACACATAGAGCAACACTTTCTTCTTTGTTTTTCTTCCTCTTTGGCAGTACTGGAAATTGAACACAGAACCTCGTGAATGTTAGGCAAGTCCTCTAGCCATACCATTAGCCCATCAGCTTTCCTTAAAAAACAAAACAGGTGCTGGGCGTGGTGGCGCACGCCTTTAATCCCAGAGACAGAGGCAGGTGGATCTCTGAGTTCAAGGACAGCCTGGTCTACATAGTGAGTTCCAGGCCAGCTGGGGCTACTGGGAGACCCTGTCTTAAAAAAGACCCCCCACACCGGAAAAAAAAAAAAAAAAAAAAAGGCAGGGTGTGGTGGTACACGTCTTTAATCCCAGTACTCAGGAGACAGAGGCAGGTGGCTCTCTGAGTTCAAGGCCAGCCTGGGCTACAAAGTAAGTTCCAGGCCTGCCAGGACTACATAATGAGATTCTATCTCAAAAACAAACAAAAAAACAAAAAAAATTAACAAAACAAAAAAACAAAACAAAAAAAGTATCTTTCTTCTTTACAAAATCTTCAGCATTTCATTTTTTGGTTGTTGTTTCCTTCTTTTTGTGATAAGGTCTTGCTCTGTAGCACAGGCTAGCCTCAAACTCAACTCACCACCCTGTGTTTCAGCTTCCTGAGTTCTAGGTTTACAGGTGTGTGCCACCATGCCTGGTTAAATAATTACTTTTGAGAGAGAAAAACAAAAAAACTGAGCAGAGCACAATGGTGTAGGCCTATAATCCAGCTACTTGGGTGGCTAAGGCAGGAGAATTGCAAGTTCAAGGCCCATCTAGGCTATAAAGATGGGTCAAATCATCAAGACCCTGTTTCAAAACAAAAAACCTATCTCTATGCCAAGAATATATTATTAGTATGTTTTTCAAACAAAGGAATTAAGAATAGAAATAATAGGCTGGGCGTGGTGGTGCATGCCTTTAATTCCAGCACTTGGGAAGCAGAGGCAGGTGGATCTCTGTGAGTTTGAGGCCAGCCTGGTCTACATGGAGATCCTGTCTCAAAAAGACCAAAAAAAAAGAAAAAGAATAGAAATAATAGGGGGCTGGAGAGATGGTTCAGCAGTTAAGAGCACTGACTGTTCTTGAAGAGGAACCAGGTTTGGTTCCCAGCACCCACATGGCAGCTAACAACCATCAATAACTCTGGTTCCAGGGAATCCAACACCTTCTTCTGACCTTCTTGGGCACTGCATGCAGGACATGGGTGCACTGACATACATGTTGGCAATACACTCATACACATAAAATAAAAATAAAATTTTAAAAAAGAGAGAGAATGGAGCTGGGTGTGGGTGGCACATGCCTTTAGTCCCAGCATTTAGGAGGCAGAGGTAGGTGGATCTCTGTGAGTTCAAGTCCAGCCTGTTCTACACAGTGAGTTCCAAGCCAGCTGGGGCTACAGGGAGACCCTGCTTCAAAAAGACCAA